AGCAGCGAAAACAATTGTGAGAGTGAAGGCAATTCACAGAGCGAGGTGATTGGGGTATATGATTTAATTGTGCATCATAGTGGGGTGTTAGGAGAATGTTCGTATTACGAGGGAAAACAGTTTCTGGTAGGGGATATAAATGGCAGGAGATTGACAATGAATACCCTAGATAGGTTGCTGGCCAGAAATGGAATTAAGGGGTTATGTAGGTACCACTGGAGGGAACATAAAAAGCCATTTTTTGGGGGTCTGAACATTCTACAGTTTAATAAGGATGTTGCAAGAATGTCAAGGGCTGGGAGTCTTTACGGTTCAGTTCACTTATACATCGAGTACATAACAAAAGAAGAAATATTGAAGATAGTTAATGATCCGAAAAGTGCTCCCAAACCTCCTCCCAAACCTAGGCTTGTTTTACAGGAACTTGAGGATGACACATCAATACCTTCTCACACAATGGGGGCCAGAGGAAGTTCTGTGGGAAGTGTGTTAGCTATATGTTGTGTGGAGCAGGAACAGAGGTCTGAAAACGTTATTGAGGGGATAAATGAAAGGGTAGAGGAGATGGTTGAGGATGTATCTGCAGTTCCTCTTTCCACTGATGGAGTTGTCAATGATGTTGAGAACACAGTTGTGAATGATGTTGAGAACACTGCTTCCAATGAAGCACACAATGAAAGGGTTGACTGTGGAGATTATTTTGTTCAGATCCTGAATTCTGATCAATCTGATGTGCCTTCTTCATCAAATGGGGGTGTAAATGAGAAATGGGGCTTTGATTCTTTAAATGGGTGGAGAAATGCAAACTTAGATGTCAATTTCCAGGATATGGCCAACATGAGGTTAAATGAGAATTGGGACTTTGTTGTAGATAATATGGGGAATGATGCTGAGGAAGTGGATACCCCTGATGGGACTGAAAAAGACACCTCTGAGAGAGTTGAAGCTGCAGATGAAGTTCTGGTTGAGGATGATGATGAGGAAGTGGATACCCCTGATGGGACTGAGAAAGACACCTCTGGCAGAGTTATTCCTGAAGCTGCAGATGAAGTTCCGGTTGAGGATGATGATGATGATCTATATGATGCCGACTATTCTGTAGAGGTAGGGGATGAGGACTTCTGTGCAAATAAGAAGGGGAAAAACAGAGGGCAAGAAGGAAACAACCATAAGAAGTTGAGGGAGGAAATGACAGGGAAAATGTGCAGGCTGGATCAAAATCTCAAGCGCCTACATCTGGAGCAGGTGACACTGTGAAGTTAAGCAGGAAGGGAACTGTCAAAATGAAGTGCACTGTATGTGGGCAAATTGGGCATAACAAAAGGTCACATGCGCAGAAAGATACAATAGCTTCAACACAGCAGGTAACTGTTCTTGCTTTGTCTGGAGTAAATATCCACACTGGTACCTAAACTTTGTTTTTCTGGTTGTACAGGAGAAGGGGCAGACGCAAAGTTCAAGAAAAAACTGGGAAGAAAAAGAGGAAAGCACCTACCCCAAATGGACCAAGGAAGAGAAACTCAGCTGCCACTTCTGTTGGCAATGAAGATTTAGGAAGCTAGTTTTGTTAACTGTGCCTTTTTCTTGTTTGTGAATCATGAAGTATGTTATGGGCGTTGACCATTTTTTTGTACATTAATGGCATTCTGAAGTAAACTCATGGCTGGTGTTGTGAATTTTGGGTTTGTTCTTTAGCACAACTCAACAAAAATGCCATTAGATTTTTTGTGGATACTCTTGCCTTAATATATAAGGCTTTTGTATATGTAAAAATGCAAGTTCAATGCCTTATTTCTTTGGTAAATTTTTTGCACACTTCAGTAATTCATAAGAATATAATTGCAGCTTCAATGCATTTACAAAAAAAGGATTGACAGTTGACTTGGATCAACAACACTGCAAATATGTCATTAAAGTACAAGATAGTAGTACATAAATACTCCAGCACATAAGTTACACAAGTACAAGGATTAAGAAAACATCAC